TTACCTTTGCTTATAAGTGACCAATTCGGCCACAGAAGCTCTGATTTAATGTAAAAACTGTGCAGGTAAAGTCAGCAGATGCTGCAGATAATATTTTGATCTCTAGAGATCACTGTCCATTTTTGTATCTCCAGTACAAACACTTTAGTTCACCCCTTACTGAACACCCACCCCCACAATATCCTGTTTGCTCTTTTTGCTATCTTTTTGTAACAACCATTCAAAAATATGTATCTCAGGTTAAAAAACAGAGGGTAAGTGGAATAACTGATGGGGCTTGGCAGGATGAGGGTTAGTTTCTAAAATGGTAGTGATTTGAACATATGTTAGCATTAACAGAATTCAGTTAAGATGGAAAGAAGACAGAATGAAGAATAAACACAAGGACAAGTGTGAATAAAAAAGATAATGTTGAGGGAAAGCCAGGAGGCTCTGTTTGTTGTTAGGTGCTGTCGAGTATAACTCATAGCAACTCTATGAACAGCTGATTTGAACCATGCCCTCGTCTGTGCCATCCTCATCATCTCTAACATACTAGAGCCTATTGAGGTCTGTGTGTCAGTCCCCCTCATGGGGAATCTTTCCTTTCCTTACGTGACCCTTCATCTTTCCAAGCATGATTTCTCTCTGCAAGGAGTAGCCCTGACTAACTACATGAGCAAAGTATGAAAGATTTCACCATCTTTGCCTCCAAGGAGCACTTTAACTGCCCATCCGATATTCAGTGCTCTTCTCAGGTACCACAACTCAAAGGCATCAATTCTTCCTCTGTCATCCTTATTCATTATCCAGCTGATAGTGATCTGATGTAGGTGACTGAGAAGATAATGGCCTGAATCAGGGGCACCTTAGTCTTCAAAGTGACATCATTGCTTGCCAGCATTTTGGAGAGGTCTCTGACAATGGATTTGCCCAACACAATAATACATCTCCCAATTTTCTGACTGCTGGTTGCTGATCCACGTAAGAGGAAATCATTGACAGCTTCAATCCTTTCTCCATCTATCATAATGTTGACTGTTGGTGCTGTGGTGAAAATCTTTGTTTTCTTGTTGTTGAGATGTAATCCTTCTGAAGGCTGTATTCCTTGTTCTTCTAGTAATGTTCAATAAACAATTAATCTCCTCATTTTCAGCAAGCAAAGATGTGTCATCTGTATAAAGCAAGACTGTGGACGGGCCTTCCTCCGATCCTGATGCCAAATTATCCTTCAGAGTCCAGTTGCTCAAATAATTTGCTCAGCATACAGATTTAATAGATATGGAGACAGGATACAGCCCTGACACACATTTCTTCTCTGCAGTAGGAATATTACAAATTCATAAAATAGAAACAAGGTGGAAATAAAATAAATGAAGAGGAGAAAAGCAAAGATACCTCAGGAGAAAAAGTGTAGTTTTATTATAGAAGGTGAAGTTGGGCATAGTTGTATATGATCACCTTCCATGAGTGAGATGAGAGGCAATAATATCAAGGTTCAAAATGAAGATCTGAAGTATTTTTCATATTCTTTTAAACATGCAATTTAGCTTAAATTCAACTTAAAAATACCCTATTATTAATTTTTTTTAAATTAGAAAATCTGAATTATAATTCTTGCTGTGCTAATATGCCAAGTGACTTTGGATCACTGTTTTGTCCCTCAGAAATGGAAACATGTAACTTACATGCATAAACATGTATTACATCTTAGTCTTTAACCCTGCTCATACAGTTTATTTTCTATGAACCTCAAGATTCCTCATCTTAAAATAAAGTAAAACTGAATCAGTTCTGAAGTCCTTTCTAAAACCCTAGAGTATTACGAAAAGAAGTTACTTTGAAGAGTTAAGTAATTTGTATTGTCTGTCAATACAAAATTCAATTGCATGCACAAAGCATTTTCCTTTCAGTTCTGCCTTCAAGTCAGTATCCTTATGGTTCAGTCACTTAATTGTTGCTGTGAAGTCTGAACTAACTCACGGCTCATCCTTTCATGGATTTTCAGAGCATGTTAATCATATGAAAAGAGACTGCTCATCTTTCTCCTAAGGGGCACCTAGTGAACTCAAGCCACCTGCCTGTGGTGTGGCAGTACAACTCCCTACTACTAGGCCACCAGAGCTCCCTAAACATCTATTGTTGTTGGTGGTGTTGTTAAGTGCCATCGAGTTGCAGGGGACTCAAAACAACTCTATGAACAAAAGACCTGACCACTTGTATAACTTTCATCATTTCTCCAGGTTCACTAGGGTTTCCAGAGGCTATTTTGGAAGTAGATGTCGCTTTCCTGCTTCCAAGCTTTTACTCAGGGAGCTCCACCAAATCCTGTTCACCATGGGTAATCATTACTGCATTTGATGCATCAGTCATAGTGTTGAGCAACCACGAGTTACCTCTGTACAGCAAATGGACAGACCAGTGCTATACGAACTAGAAGAATATCTGACCAAAAACAAAACTAGGCCTGAGGGCTGCGGATTAAAGTCACTCACCTTTGGCTTGGTGGCATCACTTTCTGCCCACTAGGCCAACTGAGCTCTGTCATTGTTGTTGTCATTGAGTCATAGGGGACTCATAGCGACCCTATGAAAGATTGCTTTAAATATGCATTTTTCTCACTTCTGTTGGGTTAGAATGGTAGGAATTGAACTGCACAAAGAGTTTAACTTTTTTATGTTTTAAAAACTAATAGATTCTAGAAATTTTCCTGGCATGTTTAAAAGTTTTTGTCTTTAAAAAAAATAAAGTTCGGTGGGAGGGCTGGGCAGGGAGAGAAGTATAGCAATGAATGAATGGAAATCCAAAATCTCTGTAAATGCTCATTAAAATATTTTAAAAAATAAAGCTTAAGAAGAAAAT